ATATAACTGTCACATAACTTTGCACTTTACACTATACAAAGATCTGTTACCTTAACGACATTAGCTAAAAGAATCATTACATATCTCTAAACTATTTCTGATATTTTGTCTTATGTATATCATTCAAATAGCACATGACACTCATTTCGAGGGATTCTCTCTATGACACTAAATTTAAAATATTATATCTCCATCAATACCATGTTAAACTATTTTGGGTCAAATGCCATATATGATTGACAAAGTCCTATTATTATTATTGCATTCCTACCCCCTTCCCAAACAGAACAATATCTGGATATTTGACTAATAGCAACAATGTCTACGGCGTGTGTAGTTTGAAACCGAAATATGGGTTATACCTGATAAACGGTCACCGAGATCTTGTTCAGAGTTTTATTTTTGTTCTCTCAAATAGTTTTCGTTTCCTCCCAATCATCACGTTCACCACTCCCCTGGCCTATGCAACCATGGTGTTTGACAGTTACCTTCAATTCACTACGTAATGTCCCCTTCGGTTGCGCTTCTTCCACTCTAAATATGCATAATACGTCACATTAGCAGCAGCAACAATCAAAAGTACAGTCACAATTACGCAGAGAATCAACAGTCCAACAAAAGTACCCTTCTCTTGTTTTTGGCCTAAGAACGGAAAAGTAGATTGTGTGTGTGATTATATTCAATATACAGGGAAAATCGGTGAATATAGTTATACTACATATATTTGTTATGCTACAAAATACTAAACAAGGTAAGACAATTAAAAAAATCAGGCAATGTGTTTGCATTACTTGTATATCATATAGTTATATATAGTTCTCTTATAACCGTCAAAACACACAAAGGCTGTATTAATACATTATCCGATGTACCTCTTACAGGTAACTATTGCGTCTGCTTCATCTAATATTACACATGCGGCATTGAATCTACACTCATCTTTAAAGACCAGATTCGCTTAATACAAAATACCCCCCTCCCCCAAATCATATTCCAAACAGTTGTTTCTACCAGTGAGACAGCTCAGTTATTGAAACAAGCGTGGTATATTTCCTACGACCAGCAGATTCATGTCAGATATTTCCGTGAATGTGTTTATATATTTAGGTTTCATATTGCAAATGCAGTGACTTACTATTTACTCAGATAGTATTGCCTGGGTCAAAAATCAATTGATGATTATTATCCCAACTATTCCAAAATCGTGTGTGTGTGTGTGTGTGTTTATTTACTAATCGTTCTAATTTTAGATATGACTGACAACTGCCAATGAATTATCAGTGCTTGGAAAGAAAATATACCAGTTTCACATGACAATGTAGCGTCATCTATGTTTACGTCATCAGTTTCAATTCACAAATATGTGGTGTATCACTATTGTCACCATCAAAGATGGAGATAATGTCAACATATACATTTCCCTCACAATTACAATTCCTGATGTTAGAAATGTAATACTACATGTTTCTCATTAACTAATATATATAAAATGCACGTAGAACGTTATTTCCGTGCGAAATGTTACGCGTAAAAATGTAAATAAAGATAAATAAATTTCAACACAGAAACAAAGCGCTCGGAATTTCACATCGGTGTACTTACAATTAAACTTCAACTGTGGAATACAGTTGAACAACCGCAATTACAATAAAATAAATTTGAGTAAATATGAGGAATTTACCATACCTACTGGTGCACTTTTACCAGATGCCTTTGATGTCAAAGGCACATATGCTTTGTCAGCAGTAACAGTTGAATATTGAGATGTTTTTCCCTGGTTCTGTGACTTTGTGGCAGTCTGCTTGGTGTTTTGCCCTGGGCTAGGTTCGTCAGTTGGACGCGTACGAGTGTTGCCAATTGTCTCTAATATTATTGTTTTTGACCTTGTCGTTAATGGAGAAGAATACTCATCGACCATGCTTGATACCGAAGTCTGCAGATGTCCTAGCGGAGTCAGAAACAATTCCGTTATGTAATTTATAACCGGAAAGAATAAAATAATAATTCCATGAAAGAAACATTGTCTATGATGAATGTACATTAATATCACGATATTTTATTAATCAGCGAATTGATAAAATAAAAGAAATCATATACGCCAATCAAATGCTGCTAAATGTATAAATAACACAGATGACGGAGATAAGATTTACGACATGTCATGTTATGTCTATATATTCGGAAATATGTATAGCTTATCATAAGTGTGAAATGGGTGTACAAGAAAGCAGAGATCTGACTCATGCTGCTTTCTTAATGGAATTTAAAATCTATGGATGAATTCTGGCGATAAAAGCAACTCATATGTGTCGCGCTATATTCTGTATAGGAAGTAGACAACATACCTCCTCGTTTCATGGCGTCATTTCGCCTCAAGGGGGGGGGCTAGTCGATGACGTCACTGATTGATAATTGAAATCTATCAACTCTTTACGTTGTTTCTCATAGAAGTGCAACTGTCATTGTTACTGGTAATTTACAAGTTTTACAAACATTGGTGTGGTGGTGTACGCCTGGATGCCATAACGATTCCTGTAATATCCCCAGGAAAACTAGGGGAAAATGAGATATTACATCGTCTTTCGTAAGAACAAAGGATACAGGTTGGCCATGCCTTCAAGGAATCCAAATCATTTGCACACATATTATCGATTTAATTCCAGCGTTACATTCACGCAAATGTAGGAAGTTTCCCTTCATACGCCAAAATTTCGATTACAGAATTTTCGGCAACACACATGTTATATATAAAAAGATATATAAAAATATTTACATATTTTACCTTCAACTGGCACGTCGGACGTTTTCATATTTATTTACTAATTAGTCGTGCGTTACAACTAATTACAAGCACGGGGTATTTTTCATGTACTTAGTTTCAACTCGGGCGTTACAAATACGGTTTAATTATATTTATTTACTAATAGGTATTTACATCGATGATCGAAACATGCAAATGCACGAGTTATTACATAATTATTAAATAATTATTTAATAAAACGCCGTATTTGCTAGGTATAACGTTCTTGGGAAATAAATACGCCTACTTGTGACATGCGAGCTACTAGTATTAGTAAATACATTTGGTAATGCACATGATTGCAGCCATATACCGTTGGAAGCGATGCAACGTACTCGTAACCAAACAATTGCTGCTGAGTATAGGACCGATCTTGATTGGGAATGTTGCTAAAAATACACATGAGTGTAACACCCTTCCTACGCTTCGTTGATAACACAGTAAGTGAGTTGTGTGTACGCCGTCCACCGCCGATAAGCTCTGAAAGAAAATAAAGTCTTGTTACAAAATCTACGGGGAAAATATTTAATAAAATAAATCGTTGTGTTTACCAAGCTTACAAAATATTACTGATCATATTCTATCATTATTTCATGGTTAAAATAGCCTATTTGGAATTGAATATGTATGTGGGTCTCGCTAGTAACAATTTCAATACGACTTAGTAAATGTAGACAGCTTGAAAATTATCAGTTATACACCAATGCCTGCATGTAATAAAAAAAACAAAAAAAAAAACGTTTTTTAAATAGTCAGTTGAAGAACAGTTACAGAAATACACCAATAGACAACCGATACACATCAAATAAAGTTTACGAAAATGAATTCGTGTTTCACTGAAATCGTGCTCGACTGGACACTGACTGTTTGCCTAAATTTGTACGGATCGTGGTAGTATGTGTTCAACACGTAATGCTAATTGTGGTTCATCTATACATTTAAAAAAATAAGTATTGTGAACGTAAATATATTCCCGGTTCACCTGACAGACACACACAATTATAACTAACTTCAATGGCTCACGCTCACATACATCACCCCTTAGCTCACGTATGAAACTGCTAGCAAAAATATAATATAAATAGACCATTCTGTATGAATACTAGTATAATAACAATCACTATAAGTTTACCATTTAATTAATTGTCCAATCCTAACGTTTCTCCGCCACAAATACATTCGATCATAGCTGGCATCAATGTACAGTTTGCACATGAACATCATTCCATGGAGCCCAGTCTTCCCAAATTGTCGTCTATCTCTGATTCATTATCGCTTGTACTGATGTCTTCAGTAGAGTTTTCTTCTATTTACCCTGCACTGTCCTTGTTTTCAAATTTATCTCATATAAATGTAGGCATGTCAAATTCAACATCACTTGAATTACACTTGCTACTACTGCGGTCAAGGTCACGGTCTCATATGTACGCGTATATAATAGCGACATGGCTAAGACATACTACGGTAACTAGTGACATCATTGACCAACGCCCCTAGAGGCGAAATGAGGAGGATGTTTGTCGTCTACTTCGCAACCCGTGCTCCGCGGCACATATAAGTTGTTTTTATCATCGTAATTCATTCATAGACCTCAAATTCCATGTACACAGTAACAAATGCAATACCTTTGCTTTGTTTCGGCAATTCGTGGTCAAAGAAATTGTATTTTTGGTCAAAATCTTTGACGAATTTTGTTCTAATTGGTGTTATTTAAAACAGACGTCTCATCCTGAACATTTCCACGTTAGCGATGTTATAGAAGGGGTATTAAACAGTGTACGTCACGTAAATATGATAAATTAACAATACCTATTGGTACACGTTCTGTAGACACTTTTGATGATGACGGCACAGTTGTTTGGCTAGTAGTAACAGTTGAAAATGGGCTTCCTGAATTAACTGGTTGCGTCGTCACAGCGGTCTGTTCAGTGTTTAGCAGAGAACTTGATTCACCAGTTTGTCGACTGTTAATGATTGTCTCTAGGAGGACCGTCTTTGACGTTGGCATTACTGCTGAAGTATACTCGACTCCAATGCTGGGTACGGATGTTTCAACACGACCTAGCGTAGTTGGCAAATCAGAAGCGATATCTGGAAGCAGAAATGAATACAGTTTTAATGCTATTCCGTAAGAAAAAAAAAGTTGCTATGCTGAATGTACATTAATCACGGTATTAGGTTTGATCAGCGGGTTGATGATACGCCAATCACGTTGGGCGTTTATCATAAACAAATAACTACTTGTAACAACGTGAATTAGCACACAGGTGGAATGCTTAGTTTCGTATGCGTACATGCCTGTATATCTGTTCACAGTTGATGTGAAATGACGAAGGTCAAGGCCACATTATGTTCGGATTCAATTTCTCAATACAACTACAACCGAAATAAAGTTAGCGCCTTTAACTTCACACTCACCACACACACCTGGTCACATTAAATGACAAAACGTGTGATCGCACTAGAAAATATAGCTAGCGCTTTCAAACTGTGCACACATGCGACCTGCAAGACTAATTGCTAGAGGTCTAAACGAAACATCAATGGAAAATAGCCCGATACATAATAAACACGTTACCCATGTGATTGGTTATATTGTATGGCCAACGAGTTATATTTATGGAAAACAATTTGTTAAATTGCTATAGATGTAAATATTGAATGCTTCAATAATAATGCTAATGACATCGCTCGAAGACGCTGGTGGACGCTACATATATGTAAATTACCTTTGAATTCGCCGAAGTCAACATTAAAAAATATGGAGTCCTTAAAGTCTGACCACGAAATGATATCTCCACAGCCATTGGCACCATCTTTAGCTAGATCACGTATTTCATTTCCGGTCAATACACGCGACCACATGTTAAGAAAGGCAATTTCCCCAACAAAGCTGTGTTCTATATCTCCAAGCGTGAAGAAGCCAGTTCCCGGAATGACTACATCGGCTACTGGTATTGACATCGTGTAAACAGTTGCGTAATTAAGAAAAATCTTTAGCACTCCTGAAGAACCAAGTGAATCCCATTCGATGCACACGTGCTGCCATTTGTTTAGTTGTAAGGGGACTTCTCGGAGAATTTCTATATTATCTGATATTATTAAAGATACTCCGGTGATTTGACTGATCGTGCCAACATTAATCACAATCTCGTTCGTGTGCATGACTGTTTCGTATCGTACAAGGGTTCTCAGCTCACTCAGACTGTTTAGCTTTATCCATAGGCATAAAGTGAATTGGGTGAACTCCCTGCCCTGTAACAAGTAATGCCTGACGTAGCTGCCTGTGTCTGTGATAGGTCGGAAGACAAACGACGTTTGACTATATTCGGCATCGTCACAGGAACCTAATAAACAGAAACAAAGAAAATAAGACAATAATGCCCTCCACTAGTAAAAGGCACTTTTTCACATGTACATTTCACTTCAAATTATTAATAGTGCCTATTTAATACTTACTGAGTTTATAGATATAAATATAATATCAAGTGAAATGAAATATCCTGCACAACTTAATTTAACATACCTCGTTAACTCATTTGCTATTACCAGCGAAATTACCTAGCCTCCTTGAGATATATGCCAATTTGCGTTTTATGTAACTTTCGACTGGAAGTGCACACACACTCAGGTGCAAATACTGACGTGGGCTTTAACTTGCATAAGTTTACTGTGAAACGTGGCAGTGATACGTCAGTGTTCTGTAGGGTGTTTATTGGACGACGAGGCACAAAGCAGAATAAATTCAACTATCATCGTCACAATATGTTAATATGCAATAAACCTCCGACGGTAATAAAGGTGTACAAACCTAAAATTTAAACATGCATGCAAATTATTATACCTGGGGTAGCAGATGTTTGCTTTGGTTGTATCACTTTGTTTTCAGTTGATACTTCTTCAGTGCTCCTGCGTACCGTGGTGTATGATTGTGAGCGTGATTTGTATTCTGGTGGTATACTCGTCAGCGTTTTACTGTAAGTACTTGCAGTTAAAGTTCTTGGAATTGTCCTAGAAATCTCCGCAGGAATGTAAGACGCACTTAAGCTTGATTCTCCATGCTCAATACCTGTACTTGTCTCTGTAAATTTAGAAGTGATAGTGGTTGATGGAGAAATGCGTGTACTTAAACCTTCTTGTGGTATATCTGGCCTTGCTGTTGCTGATGCAGGGGTAACGACACTTGAACTTATCACTTGTACATCAGGACTTGATGTGGATGTAATGATGCCTACACTGGAAGTGATTTCTGGTACGTCAGGTCTTTCTGACGTTAACGCAATACTGCCTTTATTTGAACTTGTGTCTGATATATCCTGCCATTTTGATGTTGATGCGATACCGATTTCTGGAACGACGGGTCTTGCCGACGTTGATACAACAATGCCTTGTTTTGAACTTGTGTCTGGCATGTCTGGGCTTCTAGAGGTTAATGTGATGATGCCCTCACTTGAACTGATTTCTGGTGTGTCAGGACTTTCTGGTGCTAATGCAGTGATGTTCACATTTGCGTCTGGTATGTCTGGCTTGTTTGACGATGTATCAGGTATTCCTGAAGTTGACGCAGCGAAGCCCTCACTTGAACTTATTTCTAGTATGTCAGACCTTCTTGATGTTGATGGGAAGATGCTTTCACTTGAACTTGCTTCTCGTATGCCTTGGCTCCGTGTTGATGATGCAGTGAAGCCAATTTTAGTTATGTCCACGCTTGAAATTGCGTGTGATATATAGAGTTGTTTTGTTGAAATTGTGTCTGATATGTTTGGTTGTACCATTGCCGGCGTATTCATGCTGCGACTTGACACCTCGCTTGATATGTCAGGTCTGTTTGTGGTTGAAGCAATGATGCCACCGGTATTTGCATCCGATATATCTGGTCCTACTGTTGTTGATGTTGTGGTGCCCATACTCGATATTGTGTCTGGTCTTCCTGTGGTGGACGCAATGACTTTCACACTTGAACTGAATTCTGGTTCGCCATATCTAACAGTGCTTGATAAAATGACGCCCATATTTAAACTTGTTTGTTGCATGTCTGGTCTTGCTGTTGTCAATGCACCTGGAGAAGCACTGGAACTGGTTTCTTCTATGTCAGTTTTGCTTTTAGAAGGGTCACTATAGCCCACCGTGGTCATGTCTACTGGACTCGTCTTTTGTATATATGATGAATTTGTGGTTGGTTCAGTGATGTCCGGACTTGCAGTTGACGTTGATATACTGTATGTTTTGCTTGATGATGCAGCGATACTTCCATGCGTATTATTCGAGGTTATATACAACGTCTCCTTGGCTGATACGTTATCATTCACAATTGGACTACTCGATGCCATGTCAGGCAGTTCGGTAGACGGGACAACATCTGCAAAATAAATAAATGTATAATAATACGTGAATACATGTGTAATGACTGGTTTATATGTAAACTGATATCATGGTGGTTCGACGTAATTAAGATTTAAAAATGTACATATATCAAGCCTATTATTCGAGAAATCGTTATATCATTCAAGTTATATATATGCACGTGTTTGTTTGCTTTTCAACTCATTTGTAAAACACTTGAACGTGACATTTTATATACTGTTTGATTATAGCGCAGTAACATTTTGAGAATCACCACGTGTTACCTTCCATGTGATATCCGTTACGATTATCCGCAAAAATACGTACCACAATATATATCTTGAGTGTTAACATTGTACAGATCAGATGTGGTGAAGTCAGTCCAGGAGAGCACGTCTCCGCATCCACTCCCACAGTCTTCTGCCATGTGGGCAATCTCATCATCACCCAGAACACGTGACCATATATTCAGATACGAAATTTCCCCTGAAAAGCTTTTATATGGATCAAATTGGTAGAACATGTCAATTTGCTCTCCGAGGAATAGTGGGCCTGATCCGCCGATGACAACTCCCGGGATTGCAATGTTCGTCGTGTGGACATTTACATGATTGAGAAATACACTCAGAACACCCGAGGTTCCCAGGGATTCCCACGCAACGCACACATGTTGCCACTGATCGAGCTCCAAGCTAAGTAACTTCACAATTTGCAGTTTTTCTGCAATCTCTATATAGGCCCCAGTGCCTTGCTGGATTTTACCGACCGCAAAGATGATGCTGTTCAGATGCATTGGCGTTGAATAATGCACAACTGTACCAAGCGTACTCAAACTGTTCGTCTTTATCCGCATACACAGAGTGAATTGAGTGATAAGATTGTCATATGTCAACATGTGCCTAACGAAATTATCAGTATCGGACGTGAAGATGAATGTCTTTTCAGCGAACTCCCCGCCTGTACAAGTAGGTTCTGAAATATAATGACAACTGTAGAGGTAATAGTGTGATGGTTGGGGCGTTCCCGTCGCGATACTCGGAATGTGTTCTACACAACGTGTAACAATGTGTGGCATGTGTGTCAATTCAGTTGTCTGTTTATTTACTCAAATCGAAGTCACGCGGTTGCGGAAGTATAGACTGCAAACAATCCCTTTGGCCTAATAGATTTAATATAATACGTTTGCAAATTCGCAAAAAAATGTGGCATTATGCCAGAGGAACTGTCAACAGCCTATGTGTAGTAGTATACTCTCAGAGATAGAATTTAAGGTATGATTTAGAAAAAAACACATTATTAACCCGAGTATAAGACATTATAAATCCGGGTAGATTGAGTTATAAAAAAAAACTACAGACAAAAAAAAACGATCGCCAACCAAATATAAGAAGTCATCTAATCATGATCAGCCCGAGAATGATATATGTACCTGAAGACATATAAACAGGAAGGGGATATCCTGTTGTACATATGCCGTCCTTCTAATATATCACGTTGCGTCATAAATCAATTAATTCCTGTTAGCAGCATATGGTTTACATCAGACAAGGGACATTGCGGTCTGTTCATGTTTTCAACGGAATTGCCATGTTTTCGCACAATCGCATGATATATAGCCCAGTATATATTTTTTAGCTGTGAAATAAAATTTTATAATGAAAGGTAAGCCATTGATTGCAATCTTAAAAAAATGTGTCGCTTTACAGATAAAGCCACAATGTAACTTAACGTTTAGGTAAAAAAATCACATCAATAATAGGCTTTAAATATGCTAATATTGTCGGTACGCAACATCGACAACTTGTCGAGATTACATCGGTTGCATACCAGACATTAGACATATTAGTTAACGTATAAATAAATAAATTTCATGTGTTTATAATTTTTTTACCTTCATGTTACTAAAGTTTCTTCTGTTAGTACTAATCATTAATACTACCACACATGTATTACTGTTATGGTAGAATTATAATTCTTCCCGTGAAATAACATCATGCCGTCATAGGGTCATGATCGTAAATTAAGTTTACAATAAATGTAAGTGGGCACTCAAAACACGTGATATATTACGTGAGTTCCGAAAGATTTGTCACCCCCGTGTTACCTTCTACATTGTCAGCCAAAAAAATATCAATCATGGATTGTTTTACGTGTTCTGAAATAGTAATAAAAAATAACGAGAACAGAGATAAATAGTGAAAGGATATGAAAATATCAAGTTCCTACTTAATTTAAAATGATTTCAATAGTTTCAATAGCTCAGTGTTGCGCACATATCAAGTTTTCAAATGCAATATTCACAAAACTACAAAATGTCCCCACATACGAACACCGTCGACGTCAACACCACCATTTGATCTTCATAGAAAAAGTTATACAAATGCTAGCAAAAGTCATAATACTCTGAATTTGCTCAAAAAATTAAAGCACACGAAGACAAATGAGAGTACGTTCGTAAATCTTCGAATAGGCCAGTGTCAATAAACTATCATAAATGTCTGCCGTGGCACGCATCCCGCAGACTTATAGCGCTCACATCTGTTGTTCGTCCTTTTACGTTGATATAACGATATTCCGTCGACTTAAGAGAAAAACAGATGTAAAGACGATACGCCGACTTGAAAGGGAGTATCAGCACCGACTTAAATACTACGTAAATGTTACAGCGGCCTAAAACAGATGAGAACACGGTACATCAGCGCAAAGATATGGCGGAGACAACATCGGCGATCATTCGCAAACTGTGTTCAGTGGCGGCGGCATTCAGATGGCATTCGCTCCCTCGAAAAAATGTTGGAGGCGTCGCCCCTCCAAAATCAAGCTGAAACAATTTGTGTCATCAACATTTGCCCCTCAAAATTCAGGAAATGATGTTTAAGAGAGTCTATATTTCAAAATTGTTAAGGGGTGCATGTCCCCGGACCCCCTAGTAAGGTCGCGCCTTCGGTGCAAGAATGGTGAGCAGATCTCGTCCCCTTATGCAAAATTTGGTGCCGCCACCTCTGGTGTTATAAGTTTTAGTAGTGCATTGGCGTCCTAAAATAAATTAGGGTGTCGCAGACAACTGTATTTAGGTTTATCTTATTTCCTATCATGATAAGCCTTTATCTACCAATCGCATTCTGGTAACGTGGAACTTTCCTGCTTGAACTAGGGCTATTCAAGTGACTGTCGTTAGTCTTGTACTAGTATTAGCAATAAAGTGTCCATGGTCAGCCCAGTCGTTGTCTCCAGCCTGTTTAGCCATATGGAACCCGAACCCCACAATCTGCAAGTCATTGTCATTGTGCCTTTTATCTAGTAGTGGCCATATTGACGCTTCTTGTCAGAAATGCTAGTGTGAACGCAAGATTATGAAATCCTTATTACGCCGACGTAACTTTTAACACGGTATTAATTGCCAAACCATACCTAAAATTATAGCCGTTGCCTGTCTGTTCTTTCAGTGGTCCGAGGTTGGAGATTTGGATATATGAGACACGTAATTCGCCCAATGGTTGTCCATGGCTGTTATTCACCAGTTATAAGCACGATAACATGCACTTCGTAGCATTTGCATTTCTGAGCTGTGGGTAATGAGGGCCTCTCGTTTTTTTTATCGGGTACGATAAGGGCGTTTATACTCCCAACTCGAGCCTCGTCAGTAACATTCGTCGAGAAATATGTTGCTTAGTCCACCGTTCGCAAGTAAATAATTCCTGCAGATGCGAATATATAAATTAATGATGGAAATAAGGAAACGCTAATGGATTATGACAGTAATTATAATGAAATTTAACCTACCTTGCCCGTGGTTCAGGCTAGCAAGTACACCCAAGATATATATAAAAACGAACGGACATGACTTCGCGTGATATTCCATGTTTGAAATAGTACTGGTGAATAGATGAAATTGAATGAAGTATTGTGTTCGAATCAAGTGTTATGTCACCAATGCTTAAGATGTGACGCGGATACCCAGCGCGGATCGGGTCATGCACTGGATGTTAGTGGTACGCTAGAGTGGCGATTAGCATGCCTTCTTGGTCATTAATCTTTGTTGGGTGTGACAAGTGAACTTTTCCCACAGAGGTTGCGCATATGCTAGGCAAAGCGAACCAAACCGATAAGAACAGACCCCCTAGTTTGATGATTTTTTTTAAATTGTCGATACTCACACGTTTAATTTGTTTTTAGTCCAATTGGGAAGAATATAGAAGTTTGCAAATAAATAAATAAATAAATAAATATTTATATGTTATTTCCCCTAATTATAACTATCATCAAATAAAATCACTGGACGCGGCTCGTCGCATATAACATGTGCTGGAACATGTTCAACTGGATTATATTCATATTTATTGACACCGCGATGATCGTGACTGAAATTTCGGTATAATAAAAAAATCTTTCAAATCATAGTGATGGTTAACATTTCAGTTAATACTGATCAATATGTCACAGTCTCGTAAAAATCGTGATTACAGGCGTAAAATACCCACGAGCACAAAATCATTGCTTCGGTAAGAGTTTTACCAGAATAGGACGCATTTTTACAGAATTTTCCATTCCCTCTCCCTAGCATACGACAAGGGAATAGATGTGATTTATAATTATAATTAAGTTACATTGCTTTGTTTATGAATGTGCAATTAGTAATTTTTAATCTCAAAGTTTTGGCGGTATATTTTTTTAAGGAATGCTAGTCCTATAATCATCATATCGTTCGTCTATAAAATATGTGCCAGCGTAGTTTGATTGTATGCACAATTTGTGTAAGTTTTAAAACTATGTATAATATATGAAACAAAGCACGTACTCCACTACTGATTGTCACTAGTTTTGTTTACATCTCACAATACCTAGAGGCGGTGACTATCAACAAAGCAGATATCCATGTATCTTTTTTACACAGTACAGGATTTAGCAATATGCATAAGTTTCTCTACCTGTCAAAACTACTTTAAATGGCGGTCGTCGCCGCTCGTCCTGCTTGTTATGGGACCCATAGCGACGTACACAGGCGTGTTGTTGGTGTGTTAGAGGTAGTTAGCATTGCGCGCTCTATATTCCCCTAATGAGGTTCACTTATTAATTGGCATGCACATTTGGGGTCAGATGGATGGCGTTCTTCTATTTTAACGTCAAACCTTCTCCACTTGGTAATTACTTTTTGAATTTCTAATTGTTTTTCTTAAATATGACACGATAATAACCAAATATAGTAATTGTTCTCATATCAAATGAATTCATTCAAAAACCTTAGCTTCATCTTGGAAGCTTTTTGTGGGATTGTGATTCTGGTGTTTATATAAAATAGAGAGGGGTGGTACATGAACTTGTACAACATAGTTTTCCATTGAACACAGCGACGTATACCAACTCCCCGTAAAACTATCCCGGGGACCTGCCATCTGATTGTTTTTTTTTCCGTATTTGCTCTATTAT